GTTTCTTTCCCTCCCTCTAAAAATAAATAAAACTTTAAAAATAAAAAGAGTAGGAATGTTATTTTTCAGATTGATGACCTCATCATTTGTTCTTTTGTGAAATTTTTACCATAGTAAAAATAATCTGACCATCAAACATTGAATTTTGGGGCTAGTCAAGCTGTCTATATTTTAAAGGGATACTTAAAAAGGTCAAAATCAGTACCATTATTCTTAATACATTTATAATAAAAGGGTGATGGGCTCTTTAGATTTCCAATAAAACAGGCCCCAAACTCAAAACTATGAATAAATTAATTGAATAATTCTAGCTCTAATTTCAAATCAAATGAATCAAATATTCATATATACATAGAGATAACAAACAGTAACTACACTTTCCAGATTCCTTGACTTTACTATAGAATATACCAGATTAATTAGATAAAATAATAGCTAGAACTATGGCTTAATAAAAATATAATGGCAGTTACTATTTTTGAACAACTACATACTATCTTGTTTTTATCAAAATAATTCAGCAGAGACAAGTTTAATTAGAGAGGTTATATGATGTGCTCAATCTCAGTGCCAAAAAAGTGGGGCAAAGGCCTAGGTGAGGTCTTTCCACAGTACCCCTCATAATTACGTCAGTGCAGCTGTGGATAATATAGAAGTTTCAGGTTGACATGCCATAACTCTATGAAAGGCATTGTTTTGGCAGAAAACATATGGCTTATCATATTTGTCTAACATCTGTGTAACAATAAATTATTTTAATGTTAAATGAATGAAAAATAATAACATTGGCTAATTTAAAATGCCATATTTTTAATGAAAATATCAAAAATTATTATATAACAACTGATACTGGAGGTATAATTGCTTGAGATCCAAATGGCCTTGCACACCTTTTTAAGGGAAATATTTTATTAACTCAGTACTCTATTTGAGTAACCTTCAAGTATATTCTGATATATACCCTTTGTCTTCCTATGATTAAATTTCACTGTAGAGCTACCAGGAAGAACATGACCTATAAAAGTTTATACTGACTTCACAAAAATTGAGACATTAGTAATCAATAATGTGTGGAGGAAAAGATTTAGAGACAAAATATTTTCCATTTGGTAACATCAGGTTGTTTTTCAAAAACTTTTTTTTAAAGATTAGCCCAAAATATAGCATCTACATTGACAATCAAGATCAACATCAAAAATATCAAACTTTCTTATGAGGTTGCAAAACAATAACCAAAACAGGGACCCTTTTTTCTATCTTTATCACCACATTCTGTTTCCCCATATGTGAGTGAAATCAGGAAATTAAAAATTATTTAAATTTTTAAACACTTATGTTGCAATTTAAATCTGTGATGATGAAAAAAGATTTGTGCCATGAAAATATTGTTTCAATTTAAAGCAACAAGATCACATCTAAATTTAAAAAATGATAAAAAAAATGATCACATCATTACTTTGTTTTTATTTTTTTCACTTTTGGGGGCATACCTACATTCATTTACTTATGTCAGATAATCCATTCTGAGAGGTACCACTACCATATTGGCAGATTTCCTTTATTATTTATGATAAAAATTTAAAAATGCATTTACTGGGATGACATTTGTGGGGGAAAAAGACATTAAAAGCTTTGTCAACAAATACACACAGATTTAATGCAAATGAGTTTCTGACATGACTAAACTATTATTTCATACTTATTTTAAAGATAGTATCTTACTTTGTGGTGCATTTGCCTTAGTAAAGTTATATATAAACAATGGTTTGAGCCTATCGAATCTACATTGTATTTTCATTAACACACCCAACAAACATTTGAGTGTCTACTATTTACCAGGCACCTGACTTATACCTATTAGTAGATTGTAACTTTGTTATGAGAGACAATAACATAGAATAATAATGCTTATTAGGACATTTACTTGTGATAATAGCAGGTACTCAATAGATATTTGTGGAATAAAATAAAAATGAGGAAAATTTGTATATTGTATGTTACAATACAAAACAATTTATGGCTAATTAAATATGAGAAGCAATTGTATTTGTGGCATTTTTCTTATAGAGGAGAATGATATTCCATTCATTCAATTTTAAGATTTAGAAGAGAGAGCGTAAAGTGTTGTTGGTAATAAATATAAATGTACTTACATTCTCCGACATTATAATCAGCACAAGGAGAGATCTCAAAAAGTAGGAAGAAAATGTGGAAAATTAAAAAAAGATGAAGAGAAATGAAGAGATGGAGATAGGGACCATGGGAAGAGAAGGTGATAAAGTCTTGTGTGCAGGGACATGCAGTGTTGTAACAAAAGAATGATACAGATCCAGGGTAATACCAAAAACAGAGAGATAACATGTCATTGAACTCTCAGTCAAGAAATGCTATTGTCCCACCTCAAAATAGTCCTCAGACTTGTAGGAAAGTCAGAATTGTAGAACACCACACTATTTTCATTCAAATGTGCACAAAATGCCTGGTGAATTTTAGGAGGAAGCAAATAACTGTCTGAAAGATGGAGAAAATACATTACAGAAGTGATGTTTGGCTATATCTTGAAGGTTGATGACTGTTATCAAAGGGTGAAAGATTGATTTACATGGCTGGAATATAAGACGAATGTATGAAAGTGTTGGATAAAGAGAAACAAGGTATAAGAACGAATGTTTGCACACCATTTCAGAGTCTTACTATGTGCTTGTATTAATAAGAAGAGTGGACTAATTAAAATATAATCTTGGAGGATGGAGCACAGTTAAACATATGTTTTTTTTAAAGCTCATTTGGATTTTTAATGTGTGGCTATAGTTGAGAATCACTATAAGTGGCTGGAAGTTAGTGAATGTTTTAAATGAGGAATTCGCGTACTTAGGTCCTTTGTCAGAAGATAACTTTGGCCTGGATAGTGCAAAGAGTGTGGGTTTATAAAGACTTTGGAAAACTGAACACCAGTAGAGTCTACTGTAATACATTTGTATTCACAGAAAAGACATGTAGACTAAGGAAGAGACCATTTTTTATATTAATGTTGAGATTATTTGGAATTCTTAGGTTAAACTCTTATTCAATGTTATAACCAAGAGTTATATAATTTGCATATGATCTATTATATTTGCTACACAGACCTAATGAACCCAAGTCAATGGTCCTATCTGGAGCTTGTTTTAATACCCATATCAAATACCTTATGAGAATTCACTATTTATAGATACTTATAGCTAATTCTTTCCTTCTTTCTTTTTTATAAACTGAAAAACAAATATTGTTAAGAAATAATTATGGTAACTATGCCAATTATTTTTTAATCAGATGAAACCACTTTATCCTCTTTTGGGGGGGGGTCACACTAGTATTCATTAAAATTATTCTGTTATTGTCCTTTGATAAACTGCAAGTATTTATCAGTTGAAGGGAATGGGTGATTAAAAATCCATTTAGAAATCAAACTTCAGTAAGTGTTTAATGTATTGTTTTCAAGGTTACTTTGAATTTCTTATTAATAGCTATGTGTTAATTTGCATAAGATGGTATTTTCCCTTGTAAGGTACTAAATTTAAAAAAATTTAGAAAAAGAATTGAGCCTACTAGTTTCTCTAAGCTGTTAAAAATTATATATGTATCATATATATAATCTATAATAGGCACATACATATGCCTAATATTAGTATAAATTACTTCATCTAGAATAACAACGATCAGTTTCAATTGAATATTACCAGTGCTATGAACTTGGTTTCATACATATATTTCATATATATTTAAATATATATATCCTTTAAAAAAATAGATTTCTAGTAACTCACTTCAGGAGAGAACTCATGTGTGTCTTCTAAAAGAATATTTTCATTTCATATGAATTGTGTGTTTTCTAGTTATTGTAATCGGTTGCATTACTTTCAGGTTGTATCTATCTAGTATTCCCTGAAGTATCTCTTAGAATTAGATCAAAGGCACTCAAAAAGTTTCAATCTGTGGTTAATCTATTATGCTTTGCTGAGTAGAAAAGAGAATAATACTTCTCTCTTTTTTTCCCTTCCCGCCCTCCCTTTTTAACTTCTTTGATTTGAGAAGATGTTAATAAGAAACTCTGACCAAAGGAACATTTTGCAGAAAAGATAGTATTACATCAGTGTTAAAAGTGAGGAAATTGAGAATCAGTAAAGTTAAGTGACTTTCCACATGCCCCAAACAAGGAGAAGAATTAGGCCACTGACTCTTCTGAATCCCTATTTCGATTCATATTACCTTATCAAAGGACAACTCTCAAAATGTTAGTAAAAAACTACAAAACCCACAATACTGTTGTCATCATGATATGGCTCTACTAAGTAACTTCTTTAGAGATTTATGTTTCCAGTGTGGGAAACAGTCTTATATATAGGCTACATTTCCCAGTTTGAGGAACATCAATTTATTTGAAAATTTTAAACTCTTTTTTCTCTATTTTTTTTTTTTGCATTTAGGAACTCTTGCAAATGTGATAAAGGTTATAAATTTCCTTCTAACAAAAATGTATATACATTCATGTAGACAAAATTTTGCATACCATTTTAAAAGTCCATTTTTGTTAAAGTAACTGAGGAAATAAAGGGAGTTGCTTTGAAGGAACATATATAATAGCTTTAAAGTATTACATGTAAGATTTTTTTCTCTCTAATTCAGTTTTCTTAGATGCAAAAGTTTAAAATCTTCACCTAAATGGTACAAAATAATATGGATAAGATTAAGTTTACTTTAACCATCCATTTCAGTACTTTTTCATTCTTGTAAATTCTTAAAGAAAATATGGGTCCACAAAAACACTTAAAAATTCTAATTATACTGTCTAAAGGAAAACAATTAAAATCTCAGAATTTTCTCTGAAATTTATACAGTATGATATGATATGAATGTAAGGCTTTGAGGAGAGCATTGCAAGAACTGGAGACCTCATAATCCTAACCCAAACACAAACAGACATACCACAAAATTTAATTTTTTAAAGGTAAAAATGGCATTCACTTTTTATGAAAGAGAAGGTGTTTCACCATCCCTGCCAAGATTTTGGGTAATTGTGCAGCAATAACTTCAGACATCATTTCTGGAAATTCAACGCTCAGGGCCCGGGCCTGGATGAATGTATTCAAGCAGTACAGGTGAAGTTGTTTGACAAGCTGTTGGTTTAACAAACACATAAGACACATGTAAGAAAAGTAATAAATTCATAAACTATTCAGGTATGGCAACTTATTTTTCTAACAACATAAATACTTTCAAAGATGTTTTCTTCTTACCAAAATGAAAATAACTCACTCCACTGCCAAGAATATATAATGGAAGTAATTCATAATCCCAAAGGATAATGAGTCTGAACATTTGGGTGTGTTTCTTTCAAGTTTTTTCTTTGTATACATGTATACAGACATACCTGGGTCTGTGTGTGTGGGGGGGGGGGTGTGTGTGTGTGTGCAATGCTTATATATTTTCAAAAATGCTAAAGTCTATTTGTTAATACAGCTTTTTTATATCACATTGTATTGACTCTTCCTATACCAATAAAAACCCAACATAATTCATTTTAATCTAATTTTTATTTCTGTCAGTGTAATTCATGTACATATTTTAAAAGTCAAATAATACTGAAAAATTTATAACAAACAAAACAACAGCAACAAACTATGTGCCAAGAAACTGGACAATCTGGCAGAAATGAAGAAATTCTTAGAAACTTATAAACTACCAACACTAGATCAGGAAGATATAGAAAATCTGAAAAGACCAATTACTAATAATCACATTGAATCAGCTATTAAAAATCCCTCAATTAAGAAAAGCCCAGGGTTAGATGGCTTCACTGGTGAATTTTGCCAAACACTCAAAGAAGGATTAACAGCAATACTTCTTAAACACTTTAAAAAAATCGAAGGGGAGGGAAGACGGCAAAGCCCCGAATAGCCAAAGAAATTCCAAGAAAGAAAACAAAGCAGGAGGAGAATGAAGATGGTGGAGGAGTGAGCAGAAGTCACACTGTCCTCCTCCCAGGACCAACCTGGAATTGCAACTAAATTGTGGAGAAATTGTTGTTGTTGTGGGACGAACAGCAATAGTGAGAGAGGAGCCTTTCAGCCTTGGACAGACAGAGGAATCAGCTTTAGCACAACCTAACTGGTAAGCAGTGCAGTAGAGACTTGAGAAGGCAGGCACGGCGCCCACGGGTGGTAGCACAAGAAGGATATTGAAATGGTTAATTGGATCCCCCTGAAAAGAGTGGGGTCCAAACCAGAAGCTGGGATCTCCAAACTACAGCACCAGAGCCCAAAAAGTACACAGATAATAGCCAGCTGTGAAAAGTGGCAGAGTTGCTCTCTGCCAGAGACAGGTGGCTGGAGACACCTTTTTAAAGGGCCAACACAAAAATTTGTAGTGGCAGCCATTTACCCTGGGTTCCGGCAAAGGCGGGGACAGAGAGGAGGTGCCTGAGGAGAGATTGGGGAAGGAGGCTTTGGAGAGAGAACTGAGAGAGTAGTCGGCCGTGCTGACTCATCCCCCATGTGGCAGCAACCATCTTGCTCAGGCAGATCATGCCCCCTGAGCATCAGCAGCATCAGAGGACCCAAGAGCCTCACCCTAAGAAGGCTCTGCCTAAGCCCAGTAGTGCTAAAACCTGATGGCTGAGTACAGAGTGGCAGCCACAGATAGAAGATCCCTGGCTAACAGGGGCGCAGAGTGGTCTAGAGACCCTTGAGGAAAGGCTGGAGATGGAGGCTTTGGGGAGAGAGTAGCTGGAGGGATTCTGTTGCTGACTCCTCCCCCATATGGCAGCAGCCATCTGGCTCAGACAGACCATTCCCTTGAGCAGCAGCATATGAGAGGACCCAATAACCCCACTCCCAGGAGGGACAGGAGGGACACTGCCCCCTCCTCCATGGTGTCTCTAAGCCGGCCTGCTGAGTGTAGAGTGATTAGATTAACAGCTGAAGGAGACAGCCACAGACAGTAGATTCCTGGAAGTCTCGAACACACTGCCTAAGGTCAGACAGGGTCAATATCTGACAGCATCAGAGGCAGGTCCAGAAAGAAAAAAAGAAAATGGCGGTCTCTTACTATAGAAGTTCACCCTACAAAGTCAGAAAATCAAGACAGATCAACTTAAGAAGCAGAAACAAAAAAGAAGAGTCTCACAAATAATGGGAAGGCAAAGAAATACCCCCCAGTCGAAAGGAAAGGAGGAATCCCCAGAAAGAGAACTAAATGAAACAGAGGCAAGTAAGCTATCAGATACTGAGTTCCAAACAACAGTTCTAAGGAAGTTCAATGAGCTCAGTGAGCTCAGAATTAGAAAGAAATTACAGGGAAACTATGAGGAACTTTCTGCAAACTATATCAGCATGAAAAATATATATCTTAAATATTTGTGTAATAACTTATTAAGATAAATTCTAGAAAGCAGAAATTTGACAAGCATGCAAATTTAAAGTTTTGCTCTATACTGCCAGATTGTTCATTAGTATTGTGTAGGGATTCAGTTTGAGTCACTCAAGATGTGCCTCTATAATATGTGGAACATTTTGAGCTAAAGGCAACTGAGACCTTGCATATTCAAGAGAATCTTCTGCCTTCCTAACCCTAACTACCTAGAAGAATTTAAATCAAGAACTCATCAGATATAACTTTTCTGACCTACCTATATGGCAAGGAAAACTACTATTTACTGAACACCTGCTCTTCTTACTGTCACTTAATTACCTTCCTTCCCGCTAAAGCCCCAAGGCACCTTACCTCATCCTTGGCTCAGAATGCCATGCATATCTCATTTTAACTTTCAGTCTCTGAATATCTCATGTATGCGGTGCCTCAGACATGTGTGTGGGTTCCTATATGTACATATATAATTAAATTTAGTTATTTTCTCTTGTTACTCTGTCTCATGTATATTTAATTATTAGACCAGCCAAAAGAACCATGAAGGGTAGATGAAAGTTTCTTTATCCTCAACTGTATTTAACTTACATTTCCATCCAAAATGCTGAGAGTTATTTTCCACATCTATACTTTTGCTTTTATATATAAATTATGTCTAATTTCAGGCAAAAATATTTTAGAATATATTCAGGGAAATGTATCACAATTCCTATCAACCATTAGATTACCCTCAAATTATACAAATACTAGTAAAAGAATATTTCAGTGGTTATGTCAAAAATGAAAAAAGCAAAATATTAATTCTGAGCAATATGATGCAAATACTGTTTTATAATATAACTACAAATATATGCTTGAGGAAACCATATGTTAATAGTAAAATTTAGATTTATTATTTTAAAAGTTATAGAGATTCAGAAAATAATCATTGATATTCTAGAAAACAAAATACTTACATCATGCAAGTTATCAAGAAACTTTGTAAGTTGGTAGAAACGCTGTGAACTAGCGACAACTCCTTTTTGCCTCAAACCAATTGCCTTGATGAGCTCTCTAATGTAGCTTGATCTCATTTCTTCAAACTGGTTTTGACTTCTTAGTCCTTCCAAAGGAACTGTAAAAAAGACAATTAAAAATGTCAATTATGTTTAAAATGATGATACAAGCAGTTTATAATATAAATTTTTGAACTGTATGATGGTTTTTTTGGATATGTAATTCTATATACAAACATCTTAAACAAGAAATAGTGTTATTGATAGTTTAGGATATAACTTTTTAGTTCTCTTGAAGAATATGGTAAGAACAAGTAGGTAAGATAAAGAACATTTCAGCTTACCTATTTTAGAGCTATGCCAATGTATTATGCATTTAAATTAGAATTTGCTTAAAAGAGCACCTGAGAGTATTCTACAATTTAGTCTCAAATACTTGGCTTCCTTTAGTTTGCAACAGTATGTAACATTGTTTCTTTTCCTTTTAACAAATACTTGGATTTCTCTGTGAAGTCTTGCCTTCTATGGATGAAAAAGGGGTGCTGTAATACTCTATCAGACAGTAATCTTACAGGGTGATCTAATCAGAGTTTCTTCACTGGGAAGATCATATATAGTGAGCACTCCAGACCAGGCCTATAACTTGCTCAGTGAAATGTTTTTAAGCTATTCTTGTATAACTAGGTTAACACACCTTTCAAACTGGAGAAGTAATCCTCTTTTCCAGGCCCCCTGGAAGGAATAACCACCCTCAAGAGAGCACATAATCTTAAATGCCCTGTAATCCACTCCCTGCCTTGCTTTCTTTCCCCTTTATGTAACCTTCCTTACCTTTCCTCCTTAATTCAAAATGCATAAAGGAAACTGCAAACGGTCATTCTCTGGAGCATTTGATATTTGCTTCCTGGCAATTGTCATCAGTTTGGCTCAAATAAACTCTTATACAATTGTCTATAGATTTAGAAACATCTAAATGCTTTTAAAGCTCCAGAAATACCTAACTCTATAGACCATTTCTTTTTGTTTTTTGTTTTCATTTTAACATTGCTTCATTAAATTTTCTAATTCCTTCCTGATATGGAAGAAAACTATTGTTATTTGACTAGTTCCCTTATATCCAGCCACTTGGTTATACTCTATTTTTATTTTATTTTTTATTTATGTTTTAATTCTAAGTTTTCTTGTTACACAATACTATATTCAAATAATATTTTCATTTTCCTCTTTCCAATACAGTCATGTACCACATAATAATGTTTTTGGGAAAGGATAGTAAGAAGCTAGGAAAATTTCTTTGCAAATGGAATAGGGAAAGTGAGACAGATAGCTGAACACAATGGATGAGCAATTTACACCCAGATACAGACTGTCACCACGGTAGAAGGCCCCCAGTGCTCGGCAGGAAGCAAAAATGGAAACACAAGGACCTTACCCCCAAGGTAACCTTTCTTCCTCTGGCCTTTCCTCCCTGGAGATAACATCTAGGCCTCAGTTGTATTTCAGCTCCAGGTCCAGAAAAGCAGCCAAACTAGGTGGGCAACTCCAGAAAGGACTGCAATGACTAAAGACCCCCGGCCCTGCCACTGACTAGTCAGATGAGATCATGACCTTGAAAGGGCCCACCTGGAGAATTGATGACTATTCTATTGAAACTCTCCCCTGAGACCGCCCCTGAGATTCCCACCTGTAAGAAAGAGATACCGTATTTTGGCATGTATAATGTGCACTTTTTTGCCCAAATTTTTGAGGGAAAAAATAAGGATACACATTATACATGGGTAGGACCTGAAATACCTTGTATGTGTTCTTGTGTTTTGTACCATAATATGTTCAAAAATAAATGCTAAAATTCCTTTATAATACAAAAAACAATGATCTAAATATAAGTAAATAAAAATTGAATTAAAAAACTAAAACAAAAGATCAATTCCTGAAAATTTGGGCCAAGATCATGGGTGCGTATTATACACAGCAAAATACAGTAAAAGCCTCAAGACAAAAGACCCAATGTGTAGGTGCTCTCCCTCTGGGGAGGAGCCTATGTCGTTCCCTTTCCTTTTTTCTCCAGCCCCCACTTCCCACTCCATTTTTCACAGGTCCCAGTCTCCTAAACTCTTAGGCAATGGGCAGCTGGTAGCTTGTCCCAGGCCTATCTCCTAAACCCATTCTAAGGCCCCTTTTCTCTGACTTTCCAGTGAGCTAAAGCAGCCCACCCTAGCTCTTCCGTTGCTCATTCTACAATATGCTAAGCCTTTCGTGCCACTCTTGAGGACATACTATTAAATCTGTTACTCACCCACTGTTGTCTCGCTGATCTGTAATTCTTTACTGTGTTAGTGAAAAACTGTGCTCCAGTAATGGTTTTGCCATCAACAGAGGGCATATACAATGGTGGTATAACAACCTTAACCTTGTTGACTCTACTTTTCCTAGTAACCTCTCATAACTGACTCCCCCCACCATCATCTTCTTATGTCTGCAGCTGAAGATGGTATTTAAGGGGGCAGCTTCATCTATTTTGGCAAGTTACTCAGTTTTCCTGGGTCTCTCTCATATGTTCAGGAGTTATATGTGCTATTAAACATTTTTTTCTCCTGTTAATCTGTCATTTATTACAGGGATGTCTCAGCCAAGAAACAAGAAATGTAGAGGGGAAGTTACTTTTCCTCCTCTACAGAGCAGTAGGATATGTCCCATATAGCTTAGGTGTGTTGTAGACTATGCCGTCTCAGTCTTTGTACGTGCACTCTACTATGTTCACACATGGCAAAATCAGTCAATGTCCTTATAAGCAGTGCTTGACTGTACTTGTAGCTCTTATTTCTGCTTCATGTTCAGTACATTGTTCAGAACTCCCAGAACAATATTAAATAATAATAGTGATGACAAAGGCCCCTATTTTCTTGCTGATTTTTATGGGAGTGGCTTTTATTATGTGTTAACTGGTCATTTAGGTATTTACCCCTGAAATCCTGAATTCATATATGCAGATCCTAGGCACAATTTTCTCTTCATAGGGCTAGGTCTCCTATTCCCATTACATTGTTAATTTACCTACATCTTTTTTCTTAGATCTGTTAGGTCCTGTTGTCTGAGATGCCCTGGTTGATTTCTTTTTTTCTTTTTTTCAAGTATTTTTCTGTTCTCTCTTTCTAGATCTTCAACAATTTGGGTGCTGGACTTGCTTCTTGACGCTGATTTTCCACATCTTTTGTGTCCTACTTTTGAGACATTTTTCAACTTTGTCTCCCATTGCTTCTATTAACTTATAAATTCTGCATGTGTATATAATTTTAGTTTCCAAGGGCTCTTTCCTTTTTGTGTGTTATTCCTTTTTCATAGTATCCAATTCTTAATTTCATGGATACAATATATTCTTTTATATTTCTAATGAGAGTTAACTTTTTTATTTTTCTAAAGTTCTTGTCTCCATGTTCCCTGTCTCCTCCAAGTTCTTTTTTTTTTTCCTGTTTTATTTCTGTCTTGGATGTCAAAAGTCCCACAGATGACTTGGCCGTTTATTTACTATCAAGAGTAAAAAAACTAAAAAGCTGATGGATAGTTATATTTGAATGAGAAGTGCTTATAGACTGGGACTGTGAGTTTTAATGTAGGGCAGTCTGAGCTATTTCAAAGAGAAATTCTTGCTATTAACATATTTAGTTATTTTTCTTTCTGCTTAAACAGACTGTGCAAAGAAGAACCTTTCATTCTCCTACCTGGATGATATAAATTTGGAAGGCAATGTTCTGGGAGATAGGTGAAAGAAGTATGCTGTCTCAATATTTGGTATATAATCTTAATATGTTTTCAACAGAGAAACTCTCACCCTCGACAGTACCTGTGATTCACCAATACAGCTTTCCTTGGTTATATCCTCTGCAGGGAATAAATTTACAATCTCTTTCTGAGTTGGAGAGAAACAATTGGCATGCGTGCCCTATACTTGGAAACAGACTTTCAACAGAACTTCTGTTTTTAACTCTACTTTCACTCTCCTTTCAAAAAAACATTGTCACCAACTGAAGAGCATGTCAAAGGTTCAGTGATGCAAATAATGGTGTTTTTTGGATTTTCTTTCTTCTGGCTTAGAATCCAACCTTCTTTTGTATGCTAAATTGGTTCTGCTTGCTGGCTTACAAAATTTTATTGCTTTTGGTTCTTCTCTTACTCCCTTTTCATTTTTATTTTTAAAAATCCCATTACTAATATTTTAGTGTAGTTTTAGGGGGATCAGCAGAAGAATGTGTGTCTTCAACCTGCCATATTTTCCTGGAGAACTGTATTTTAGTTTCTTATGGCAAATGAGAGGCTTAAATTCTTGTGTATCCAGACATCAAACTTTTCCTTTGCCAACTTTCTCATTGTATTTGTTTTTTAAGTGATATTCCTTATTTGAGATTTCAAAATTATTTATATTACTTTTAATTTGTTTTTAACAATATAAGTATTCACATTTAACTAAATTATTTGCTATTTATTTTAGAATATAATTTTAGCTAAATATTGAAATAATTTTCTAAAATACACAACTATTTTTCTAACATATTCATTGATTTAGGATGTTTCTATTATATTATATAAAGTTCTAATACATACTAGGAAGACTTGACTAACAATTCAATTTATCTATTTTTTCACACTTATTAATTATTATAGCTTTCTAATTCCCTAAAATTTTTGAAATGCTTATCTATTTATTCCTTTCCTTTCCTTACCATGGCTCTAGTGATTGTGGAAGCATACGCCAAGGTATAGCCTCCATTTTTCTGGGCACCAGGTGATGACACTGAGCTGAGCTCTCCTGCTGATTTGCATTACACATCTAGTGGGGAAACTAAATACTTACAATTTTTTATTTTGGTTAAGCTACCAAGATTTTAGGCTTCTTTGGTGTGCAGCATAATGTAGAATTAAATACAGAATTATGTTAATGATAACTAATTTGGGAGATATAGGACTGCTATCGGATTCATTACTGTCAAGAATGAAGGGCAGAAGTTAATTGCTGCTGTAATATTAAAATATGCCATTTGGCTGTCTTGGCCAGTCTCATATCAACACCCTTAGTCCACCTTATGCATTCCATTGAATAAGGCTTGAAGGTCTTTACTCCACATAGGGTTTTCAAGAGGGAAATAAGGCTATGGATCCTGAATTGGTCCCTGTCTTTGCAGTGATTTCATGAGGAAAACTTTCTTTTTATGGGTTTAGCTTTTCTGCTTTTCCTCCTGATGTGTAAACCCCATCACCCACCATTTGATATTTGTGCCACTAGAAAGAAGTTCCTACAAAAACATTGCTGCAGAAGACCCTTGGCTCACATTCTACCTAAAATCTTAGCTCTCTGTTGTTCTCTTTCAGATCACTATGAATGAAGGAAGGATCAGTTCAAACATTCAAGGGCTGTACTTACCTGTGCATGGAAAGGATAAAGAAAAGGGTAAAAAAAGGTAAAGCAGTTTTAAAAATTTTCCCACCCAGACTCTTGGGGATCCATTGAGGCAGAGATGCATGTGTTCTTTATGTGCTAAAAAAACACAAACAAAAAACCAACCCCCCCCAAATAATGAAATAAAATGCCCGTACCTTCTGGTGACCAATGCTATGTTTTATAGTACACCATATGTTTTCTTCTGATTATTAAGCTCAGGTGCATTTCCCAGTCTCTCTTGCAGTTAAGGTGGGCCATGGAAAGCATGTAGAAATGACATATGACACTTCCAGGTTTCCCCTCTAAACCTTTTCTCACTCAGTGTTCACCTTCTAGGCAGTTTCAATGGAAAACTCCAAGCTGCTAGGCAAGGATGGAGTACCTGTATGAAATGAGCCTGGGCTGTCTTGCTAACCCACTAGACTATGGCTGTGAGTGATATACTGATATTGTGTTATGCTACTGTTCTCTATCGTTATTTGTTGTAACAGTTAGCTAACCTTACACAGAGAAGAGTTCCATACAAAACTGTGTAGTTTACATAGTAAATCCTTTGTGGGGTGAGGTAGAAGAAGCATAGTTTGTGTTTATGCAATATTAATTAGTTTATAATCACCTAAATGTGTGAACATAAAAAACTCATTTAATTATGTCTCATCTAAAAAATAATGGAACTGGCTGAATTGACAGGTTATTTTTGTACTGTGTGATAGGTAAAATCTGAGAAATATGAGGGAATTTTATTAATGTCTGTAAGAGTATATCATGTTTCTCCTTTGTTGTTATAATAGAAGATTACTACTTCATGTATAATCATATGATCATATAGTTGTTAAGACTTTCCTAAAGAACTAAAAGTTAAGAAAAATATATTAAATTACTTGCACTCACTTGTATTAAGAAGTAGCAATACTTTCATACAGAGGAACTCTTCTTGGCTAATTTGCAGCTTCACAAACTCCTGTGGAATCTGCCACATGGTGAGGCATAACGAATAGAATGAGGATTCCTTCATCCGCTGTCTTCCATCACACACAACACCCACAAGAAAAAGCAACAGGAAAAACACACACACACACACACACAGTATATTAGCCAGTTTATGTAATTTATCCAGAATATGAGATTTAGTAATTACCTTATTTATTATTGAAAATGACTTTTCCTAAAGAAACACAATATTTGGAATCTTAAACATCTAAATTTTTTCACAATATTGAATTTTTGAGCTTAAGAAATTTTAAAGTTAGAAAATGTGTATTAAATACACATTTGCCAATGTTAATATTTTGCTTTTTTATCATCATAGTTTAGAAATATAAGCCAAAGAAGTTGTAGGAGTCAAAAAAAGTGGAGCTAAGGAATGCTCAGAAGATAATGCATTTACTCATTTTATTTCTGTGAAAAAATATATGAAATTTTGAGTGCAATCTAATAGGAGAATGGGTTTACTTCACAGCAACTAGAACATAGAATGTTAAGTATATTCAGTTCAGAGCATTCAGTGAAGAATAGTTACACTGTGAACTGTTCTAGGGGAAATGTATGGTGATTGGGATAGGAACATTAGGAAGAGTTAAATAATTGACAAAGTCAAATACTAATTCTGAAGGTTGAGGGTATTTTTAAAAACTATTTTCTCAACCAGATGCTGTTTCATAATATTCACATTAGTCAAGTGAAGCCAACAGGAATAATAAAGAGAAAACAAGATTTTGACTCAGAAGAGTGAAGATTAATCCTGACTGTTACTTGGATTCTTTGGTATGTTATGCAATTTTCTCTGAACCTCAGTTTCCTGAGCTGTACAATGAAGGACAGTGATTCCTTATCAATTTTAATGGATTGTAGGATAAAATGGATTAAAATATACAAAAGTTATCTATAAACAGTAAAGATTTATATAGGTGTAAGTAAAATGTTATATAATTCTGAGTCAGCTTTCACCATTAAAACAGTATAAATACTTCCATGAAAGATTCTTATTTAAAGATCATATTAGAAAATTAAGTACAGTAATTTAAATATAATCAAGCAAATTGGACTATTTATCTTTCAATTTTTAAAATAAATTCCCAGTATAGTTTTTCCTCTAAAGAGAGATGTCTTTACATTTTAAAGGTAAGTCAACACTCTCTAGCAAATTATTTGTAATTTACTTCTTTATCTTCATTAGTACCAAGGTATGACTTTTCCTTTGATAAATAAACATTTAATTTTGTCTTTGAGTATATTTCTTGATACTTTCTTGAAGTTTAAGAAACTGGATTGCAAACAACTAGTATATATTGAAATAAAAGGAAAGCTCTCCAAATATCAAATTAACTGATAAAATGATATAATTTTATTAATATTGTCAAATAAAGTTTAACTAATATGAGGTAGTATCAGTTGATATGAGGTCATTCTGAGAAACCTTTCAGGAAAGCTATTACTTAGCACACTAAATGCATGACTATCTATTGAAATATAATTTTCAATATTATCCTACATATACACTTGAGATAATAAGAACAACAAAAGTCAAGTTACTACTTACTCATTTAGTACTAGATCGGGTGCAAAATACAGCATCTTCCCACTGACATGTTTATAGGATCTCCACCCTAGTCCAAATACTGTTAAGCTCATCCAAGAATATTGAATGAGAGTTATCTGGTCATCAATATGTAAGTTTCTAAAACCTACAAAACATATTAAAAAGTAAAATGATCACAAAAATTACTTGTGTCAAAAGTGTGGAAAATACATAGAACTTTGAAAATAAACATAAGTAGAGTAATATTTTCAACTTCAATATAGTTTACATTAAAAATCAGGAAATTTTAATAAATAATAGATCTTGAGCAATTAAAAAGAAGCAGTGATTTTGGAAACCATTAAAATTAGACATTGTGATTTAGCACTTCTGGGAATTCACTAACTGAATCAATCACTGATCACTCACTCATGCAATACATATTTATTGCAGTGACAAAGAAAGTTACAGGGAGTACACCAGGCAATTGGAAGATCAGGAAAAACACACTAAAAGAAAAGGAGATAATGCCCAGGCATTATATAATCAGTTTGTTGAGGAAGCTTAATTCTTTAAAACTTAAACATAAACTGGTTTTGTTCTATAAAAACACTGCTTTCAATTGTGCTATATCTAACTTTTCTTTAACATCCCTTAATTTGTGTTGGGTAGATCCCAAAATTTTCTGATTACTTTTGTTTCTTTGAAACAATCCAGTCTCATCTTAAACTCTCAGGTGGCTTAAGATGTTTAGAGCCTATATGTGTATGAATGCTCTGGTCTTTTACACGTTCACAACCTACATTTTTTAGGCCTTTCTCTGGTATTGGTGGAGGGAGGATAACAGGGAAAGAGCAAATAACACAAATGATCGATCTTCTCTCCATCTCTTTCCAATTCTCTTTTTGCTTTCTTGGGGGAAGATCACCAGCTCAGCACTGATGCACTTAGTGGATGGAGAGACAGAGAGGTAAGTTTGGAGATATAGGCTGGGGTCATATTATGCATGGTCCTTGGTAACTATGTGGAGGATGATTCTCAGGGAATAAGTTTGGAGTTACGGAGAGAATTTGGGAGCTATTGGCAAAGGCCAGGTAAGAGATGACAAAAGCCTGATAAATGTCAACAGGTAGAGGTAAATAGGACAAAGTGAATCAAAGAAATATTTAAAGAGTAAAATCAAAGATATTTGGCAAATGATTGTGTGTAGGTAAGAGAATAAATTTGCAAATAGGTTTTTTAGTATTTTACTTGAATGATAGGTGATAGTAACAGCATTAATATGATAAAAATAAAGGAGAAACAGGCTACCAAAAAATAGAGTAAGTTCTGGATACGTCTGAGGGCCTCCAGATTATCCAGGTAATAGTTGGACATTTGCATTAGAATAATAGAGACATATTTGAGCTAGAAATATAAATTTAGAAATTATTTGTATTTGAATATAGCTGAAACAATGAGAGTAGATGAAATCTTTTATTATAGATGTATAGAGAAAAACAAATGTTTTGGAACATCAACCACTTTCCATAAACCTATTTAGTAACATCTATTCCCCCTAAGAATCCATTGAAGTTTACCTACAAGTGTCCATTTTTAAAAATAAAACCAAAGAAAACTTAATTTCCTAGATCTCAAGGGCAAAAAGACATTCATTTCCTGATTTTGTCAATCATCTTAAGGTTGGTGGCAAGAAACGGTATCTTCTCTCCATATACTCCAGAGAGTCCCATCTTCATGTGAAATGTAGGAATAGTGTATACCTTTTATATATATGTTATATACCAACAAATATGTATTTGTCAAATTATTATTTCATAACTCATAGTGTCTTAGGTTCAATTAATCACATTATTAAAACATTAACATTTTTCATTATCATCTGGACTGATATATTTTTTATTCTCTGTACTTTTCTTAGTCAATGTTATAACTTCCTATCAAAATCATTACATAAAATGAAATATTTGACCTACTATGCCATATTTTTTTTAATGCTAGGGCTTTGTTATACGTTAATTTGAGGAGTTTTTAAAATCTGACAAAATTATGTAAAAGTTAATTCATTGGTTCTTTTTTAAAAACAAATTTCACTATTTACATATTTGTATTTGTTTTATCCTTTGTTGTTTTTTGTTTGTTTTGCATTCTTTAATTATTAAGGACTAGAAGCTATGAAACATTTTTATTGTAATATAAAAGGCTAATCATGCTGAAGTAACTTAAAGCTTATGAAATGACCAATATTTATAGCAGAAAGTACACTCTTTCCATTTTACAGAATGAAATATAACTCAGAGCTTTATTTACTCCATCTTTTAAGGAGTTTATCTGTGATAAGTGTAACATTTTAAATTGACTTGAACATGCCTGATTCAGAAGTGCAATTTTTTCCCAGTTAACTGTAATATCATTCATTACTTTATACTGAAACAAAGACTGGAACACTGAGATCAAATCTCCATTGATGATAACAATCAGGTAAACTCAGTACATTTGAGATGATGATCAAAATGAAAACCTTCACATAAAGAAGTGATGGATGATCCCTAATTGTGTTTAGCAAGTTGTAAAGAAAAAAAAAAACTCTCTCCTTTTATGTGACTTGACCTGATAACTTTTGACAAAAACACTGTTACAAGCTGTCCAATTGTTAACACTTTAAAAAAGAATTTTTTAAAAGAGTACAGTAACCTGTATGACCTGCTAGGTTCTCCTATTTCCAGATTTCTGATATAGGTTTTGCTTCTGTAGAAACTGCCGTGTATTGAAAGAGCAAATCTACAACAAAGGCAGAGCATTAAATACTTCAGCATCTTCTGACACAAAGTATGAAATTTGAGTAGCACAAAAGAGCTTCAGCACAATAAGTGTAATCATTAACATATATTGATGACATTGACATAAAAACAAAGACTTCATGTTTAATGGTCTAAGGCAGCCTAGTTCTTTTCATATCAAAGCCATAATTTAAATTTCTATAAATAATTTTTAAAGGTTTTATTCATTTATTTATTTATAGACAGAAGGGAAGGTTACCTCTTATGTGCCCCCTACTGGAGACCTGGCCCACAACCCAGGCATGTGCCCTGACTGGGAATTGGACCGGCGACCCTGTGGCTTGTGGGTCAGCACTCAATCCACTGTGACACACCAGCCAGGGTGATTTCTATAAATAATTTTAAAGCATCTACTTGGGGTGAAGCATTATGCTGGAAACTAGGCATAAAGACTGGACAGATGCTGTTTCTGTCTTTAACACTGGTGAGACAGACAAAAAAAGTAGAATGTAATCATGACTCAGAGTAATAGTGTATGGCGGACAAAGGCAAGGGTGATATGGGAGAGCAAGGGAAATCTCAGTCTGGGAAAGCTCTGGAAAATCTTTCTAGGGAGCAAATTAGGGACAAGCCAGGAGAAGATGCAGGAGAGGAGAAGGGCCTCCAGGTAGGAACAAAAGGAGCAAAAGAAAGGAAACTAGAGCAAAGAGCATTGTGGGAACTGAATTTTAGGGTTGTTTGAAGAGGAAGAGTGAGAGATAATATTGCAAATTCAGGAGCCAGATCACAGAAGGGTCTTGGATGATAATAATTTTGAACTCTTTTTCTGAAAAAGAAAGGGAACAATATAATTAATTATAATTGTTTTAGAAGGAAGATTTTGGAGGCAGAATAGAGGATTCTTTGGAGACAGTGTGAAACTGTGATAATAGGCTCAGTGTTGAGGGAGGGGAGTGGGTATAACAGAAATCTAGAAAAAAATTATGAGGATGTAAAGTAAGTCAAGGCAGTAGCAGTGGAAGTAGCATGTATAATGAATTCTATAGTGAATAAGTTGAGATGAGAGAATTGGATAACTCATTGGACAGGAGGCAATGGAGAAAAGTGAGCTGAGGGATGTATCCAAGATTCTATCTCAGGTGCCATTTCAAGATACAGAGGATACTTTTAGGTTTGAGTAAGTTTACACTGACTTGGAAGTTCAACCTGGTGGAAATGTATGATGAGCAGTTGAAATACATTGTCCAATAAGTGCAGTAGAGGATTTGGGTTGATACTATCTATTTAGCAGTCATCAGAATATAACGATGGATGAAGACAGGCTATGAATACGTTCATTCATACCTTGTAGAGTGAGAAACTAATGGTGTAAGTGGAAGAAGAAATCTATACTGGTAACAGAAAGTATGTAAATTGACAGAAACTTTATGTACCTTGAAGGGAAGCAATGAATACCAAAGGAAGCATGTCAGCAAGAAATGGATTTTATCAATGGCCTCAAGAGGCATGTCAAAGATGGTAAGGTATTTATTTTATTTGGTCATCATTTTGTTAACATTGGCAAAAATAATTTCAGTGGAATAAGATGTTAGAAGTATCATTTTTGAAACTTTCATAAAGTATTATTAAAGCCTAACTTTACTCCTAATAGTCTAATCTAATTTCTTTACCATCACTTTTTTGGGGGAAGCAATTTTGATTTATTCATTTTATTTGGGAAGAAAGAAAAAAAATCCTTTGTCTCATATACAATGGTTGTCGCTGACTCAGAAGATATTTTGGCATGCTTCAAAGGCAGAAAATAAGGCAAAAGGCTGGTTCAGTCTTCTGATACTGATGACTGCAAGTAGCCTGGCTGAGACTACTACTATAAAAACAAGAAGTATTTATTGAAAAATGCAGTCTTTAAAAATGATGAAGCATTGAACTGAATAGATTTTTTCACCCAATAAATAAAAGAATCAGGACAAAATTTCCAAAGGCTACCCTGACTTGAAAGATTGCTTGATCAACCCATAACTTATACCTCTAAATTTATTTTCTGCCATTCTCTCCAATGTAAATTTATTGTCAGTGGCTTTTAAAAAAATACCTGGGTAATAGCACCCCCAGGAGTCTAGTATTTATTGTAGTCATGTTTGAGAAACCATATGCACAAATATATTTTCTTAATCAGCAGCTATGAAAAATGTTATAATTTTTTTATGTTACTAAGGAATCTTCATACTTAAAAAAAATTGGGAACCATTCTTATGCTTGTCTAGTTTATTATTCACCAAATTGCTTTTCCTATTTTACATCATAGCCATACTATTCCTTTAATCTAAAATGCTTTCTCTTCTTATCATGAGTTATTAAAGTCTCATTTCTCTTTGAAGGTAAAATT